TCGTATTAAACGAGACGTCTGTTCGTAGATCATCCTATTTGTTTAGGATGAAAAAACGACAAAATATCTTTTACTCCTTGAAAAACCGTGCACAAAAACGTCTCCGTGCACATTTCTGTCTTTTTGCCGTGCACCTTTCTGTAATCGTCCACAAAAATGTCAAAAGATTTTTTAGTGCACGGAAAATAGCAAACCGTGCACAAAAAACATTTTTCCCATTGAGACTGTCACTTAATTTTTTATTTTTAGTTACTTTTAATAATTATGAATGCCGATAATGGAAATCATGATTCTGGCTATTTTAGTCCGAGTCCAGATTGTGAATTATTATCTACAATATCATCAATCAGACAAATCAAAAAAAATTTCAATCAGTCCAAAATCTGCGATGATAGACTAAAGAAGAGTGGGGATGAAATAGTTAATGAAAAAGAGAAACCAAATGAATCGTATGTTGCACTTATTGCTCGTGCTATATTAGCCAGTCCTGAGAGACGTCTATTATTAAACGATATTTATGACTGGATAATCGAAAAATATCCTTATTATGGAAAATTGACGGGAAAAGCTTGGAGAAATTCAGTAAGTTAGAATGAAATGTTTACAAAATATTAATCTAAAATATTAATTGTTTTTTTTTGCTAGATCAGACACAATCTCAGTCTCAACGAATGTTTTATACGAATGAACAAAGCAGAAAACGGTCGAGGTTGTTATTGGGGTATGTAAACAGAGAAAAGTATGTGAAGATCCAATTACGATTAGGTATAGTTTTTCTCATTTAAGGCATACATCCAGCCAATCTTGATACATTTGAACATGGTGATTTTCGTCGACGTCAAGCTCGATTACGTGCAAAACGTTCGGTTGTCGAGTTAACAAAATATTCAAATGATACATCATTTATATTAGAGCAACAACACTATTTAACACCAACAATCGACTACTTAAATTCGCCAACGTCGTATTTAAGCTATAGTACACTTTATAATTCAAATCAATCACTAACAACGAAAGAAACGGACAGACCAATATCCTATCAACAAGATTCATCCTTTTTAAATAATCCATTTACAAATACATCATATTCATTTTTATAGTTATTTCGAAACATGGGTTGTTCTCTTTAATATTCCGCTTTATTTTCAGAAACTGTGTGAAACACAAATCGTTACAGGCAAAGTTATACCACCGTGTTTGTTCTTGTCTTGTATTTAAATTAATGAAACAAATAGGATTATTATTTACTTATGATGTATATTGGATTTGACCGAGTACGGACAGTTTCACTCTACTACTTCTATAATTCATTTTTTAGCTTTGGGAATACAATGATACAAGTTTATCGTCCTCCTCTTCATTTGGATGTCTTCTAAAAATGAGGTCTAATTTTCGAGAAAGTTGAAACTTGAAGTCAGAGACAAAGAAAATAATACTCATAGATTTCATTAAATAATATGAAATCTTATAAGTCTGTACCCAAAAAAAGTATCCGTTGAATGAAATATGGTTTTTTCATAACTGTTATTGAGTAAATTAAAAAAATTTCAGTTTTTTACAATCATTCTCTTTTACCACAAAAATTAATTCACCACAAACAAAGCAAGTAAATAAGGCCTCTAAATAGCATGAGATTACAATGAGTAAAAATATGCATACATAATATTGGATAAACGTGAAGCGAACGAAATTAAAGTAAACAAAAAACAGTCAATACAGTGAAAAATAAGAATTTTAATTCATTCATTCTTTTTCGTTGAAACAAAAATGTACGACTAAGATAGTGACTAGTTCTGACTAGAGAGTATTGCACGCGTCTTTTTCATCGTTTCTTTTTCATTTGTAGGGAGGCATCTGGTTAGGATAGCCACCTTGTGGATAGTAGCCTGGTTGCTGAGGAAATCCTGGAGGTTGTGAATAAGGGCCACCTTGTTGTTGAGGATGATAATACGGCTGAGGTACAGGTTGTCCCGGATAGAACTGTTGTTGAGGTTGAGCATATGGACCATAACCGGGTGGAATTTCCTGCGTTGGTTGATGATAGTAACTGAAAGAAAAAATGAAAGATTTTGATATGTTTGGGTAAGAAGAGTAAATACATACACAGTTGTTTGTCCACCAGGAGCTCGATTTCCACCGCCCATCGTATCTTTACAACACTTGCCTACACGAGAAAAGTAATACGCTTTCAAAATGTCTTATTTACTATTTAAGTATCTTATTCAATAGAGAAAAACGGATGAACTAATTGCCATAATTAGTCTATTAAAGGTACTTACAACAACAGAGAGCAGCGAGTGGAATACACAAACAACATAACAAATCATCACAATCGTCCTAAGAGTAATAAAACAATACGAGGCTTAACAAAAAACAGGAAATTTATGGACTACATACCAGACACATTTTTGTTTTTGTTTTTATGAAATTTGT